ATTAAAATGTTTAGAGTTTTCCATTCAATTATTAACAAAAATATATCATAACATTTAAATTATTATTACTTCATTTGAGCAATTGATTTTTACGATGGGCGTTCTATAAACAATGATCATTAAAATTTTTATATATTAAATATTTTATTTATTGATTACTTTAAGATTCCTAAATGCTTTTATGTTTTTTTTCTTAAATAGAATTTAAGAGTTTACTAAACTGTAAGTATCCTATCAAATAAGATAACTGTTTCAACAATAGTTATTCACTTTTTCAATGGCTAATTTTTGTCTTCTGATGTTTTTTTTATGTGTTTTGTTAGTCCCAACTTTGTGTAGTGTGTAGTCTCCCCTGTTGGAGTGGGTTCGAAATAAAAAAGACATGGACAAACCTAAGTAAAAAAAAATCCAAAAGTTATACGGTCTAGAATACATGATAACCAGTAAAAATGTTCTGATATGTTTTCTCTGTTAAAAGAAAAACTAAATTAAGAATAAATGTTGCCTGTTCATGTTTGTACTTGGTTCAAAATAGACTAGAAAGTAGATTTGGTCTCTTTTTTATCGACACTTAAGTTAAATCTTGTTTACTTTTAATTGCATTGGAAAATATTATATTTTTATACAAGGCATTTCTTATGCATATTTTTATTAGACTTAAAACATTGTGGGTGCTCTGAAAAATTATATAAAAAGAATACACCGATATTTAAAATAACTTAAAATGTATACTTGGTATTAGTAAAGAATAAAATAAAAAAAAAATGGGTCTTATGAAAATTTCCCAAATAGACTTCCTATTTTAGACTTTCAATTTGGAGAAATAAGGAGCATCTTATATCCATTTGCTTCATATTTTCTGTTGTCCTCCAAGAGTCTCCCTATTTTATAATTTGAATCTGAACTAGGCCACAAATATATCTAAAAGCCACTTGAAGCCCAGACTGGGTGGACCTCTCGAGATGCCGGCGATGGAGTCTTGATCGGGCAGCGGCGGCGGCGACACCTTGTTTGTGGCAGCTGCGGCGGCAGCGCCACCTTTTCGTCTTGGGGCGACGCCGACACCTTCATCCGGTAGTCTCGGCACCTTTTCGGCGGCGGCGAGGGATTCGACCTGTTCAGGGGCGGCGGTGGAGGGCGACGAGGGGGAGATGAAAGGAGCAAAGAGGAAAAAGACCGCGAGAGGTTGAAAGAAAAGAGCGCGTATCGAAAATAACAGCGAGAAGATGAAATGGGGGTTGTTTTTTCCTCCCCATGAATGAGGAAGAGAAACTTCTATTTGAGGGCATCCTAAAAATAAGACCAAGTTTGAGGGAATTGTTCGAAATAGTTTTTGAGAAAAATCCCTATTTTCGGAATTGAAAATCTTCATTCTTGCGGTAACTCTAGGGTTGCTCTGCACAAAGGGCTAGGGTTCATATCCAAGATTCGAGAGAGGTAAATTCATCGGCCATGGAAGATCATCAAGCGAAAAGAAAGAAGTCCTCATGCGACAGATTATCCGAGTTGCCAAAATCCATTTTGCACCATATACTCTGTTTCCTTCAACAAGAGCACACCGTCCAAACTTGCGCTCTATCCAAATCATGACCCCGACGAAGGGGATGCTCCCTTCAAAAGGGACGAGGACAAGTTCTTGTTTGTTTTGAACAAGACGCTACAAGGTTACCATGACCGAGG